GCAGTTCAGGAGCGGAGGTCCCTGGGAACATCAAGGGAGAAGAGTGGAGTGCGGGATCCTACCCAGAGAAACAGCAATGCCAGAGATGGAGGCAGAGATGATGATGTGGAGAGATGGAGCGGTTGGGGAGGGGCTGTGTGCTGGTGGCCAGGGGGGCTAGCATGCAGGGCATATCCTTTGGTTGTTTGAATGATTATATATTCCTGAGTGTTTCGGTGTACATTAAAAAAAAAAAAAAACATGGGATGGAAGCAAATGTTGTTGAAAGATAATGCATGGAAGGGACTGTAATCATTGCAATGAAACAAAATACGATAGGATGAATGTAAAGCTGATGCTCTCCCATGTAAACTATCACTCAATTCACAATAAAAACTTAAAAGAAAAGAAAAGAAATGCTACTTCACTCATTTCTGTGCTGAAATGCCACGAAGTCCCCTGGAGAACCAAACACTTCAGTCTGACGATTCCTTATACAGATAAGGTCTTCTAGATATTTGCCCATTCTCCTCCCTTCTATAGCCGTCTTCTCCCAAATTGGTATCAATCAGCATGAGAGCTGGGAAGAGGAAGAGGTGGACAGCACAGAAGATATTGCAGTTGGCATGTTCTCTTCTTTGTTAAAAAGTGAGATGAGAAAGGAAGTCATTAAGAAACACTATCCAAATGTTCTGATTTCTGAAGTACTTTCTACAGGGTCTCATTTATGGTGAGTCGATAGAGAATCGTGTTAGCTGAAGAAGCAATAGGCTTTTTAAAGCATCAAGTGGCTATTTATTTGAATCTACCATTGCTGTTGGTAAGGTGGTTCTGAATCATAGGGACCCTGTCTAGGGTTCCTGAGGCTTTACATATTCTCAGGAGCAGAAAGCCTCATCTTTCTCCCATGGAGTGGGTGGTGGACTCGAACCATGTATCTTGTGGTCCACAGCCCAGTGCCTGTAGTACGGAGCCAAAGCATTTCCTATTTGAATCTAACTCACCACAAAAGCCAAAGAAGAGGTCCAGAAAGACAGGCAATGAGAGTCCAGGAATTCAGAAGGCAGGCCTGCCAGTGTAGCAGGTCACATGGCGCACAAATTTGGGCTTTGGACTAAACTCGTTCTCAACAGAAGGCGACTTTGCCCCCTGGGGTGGGTGGAGCATTTGATAATGCCCAGAGCATTTTTGAGGCATAACTGGTTAAGTGTTGATCTAGTAACAGAAAGATTTGCAGTTCAAATCCACCTAGACATACAAAAATCAGCCATTGAAAACGCTATAAAACACAGATCTACTCTGACACATTGCCGTAGTTGCTAACTGCTGTCAAGTCGGTTCCAACCCATAGTAATCCTGTACAGGGTTTCTGTGGAGCAGCTGGTGAGCTTGAACCACCGACCTTGTAGGGGGTCACAGTTAGTTAGAACTGATTCAGCGATAACTGGTTAACTTGTTAGAGGCATTTTTGGTTTCCTCAACTTGGTAGGGCACGGTTGCTACTGTCATCTCATAGGGAGAGGCCAGGAATGCTGCTAAATATCCTACAATGCATACAACAACCCCTTACAGCAATGAATGATAGAAATGAAGGTCAATGGCATTGGGAATCAGAAACCCTGATGTAAACCAAAGCTTGTCATCAAGAATTGGGCTCTTGTCGGGGGATCAGAAAGCCAAGGGTGGCATTTAGTGTGGAAGAACAAGGGAAGATTAAAGTGATTCCAAACCGAAAGCCAGCACAAAGAATTAATCATAAAAAATTACTGGCAGCGTCCCTGGCTTCTCCCTATTAGGTGACAGTAACAACCCTGCCCTGCGGTGTTGTAAAAACCAACAATGTCTCTAACAAACTAAAAGGTTATCACATCTATGTAAATATATGCAAATATACAGATTACCAAAAAAGACACATTCAAAGGGGCCAATATTTCAGGCAGCATGCATTCATTCAATCAACAAATACTAATTTAATTCAGCAACTGCTATGGACTCTGGACAAGCTCAGAGCTGGGGGTGCAAAGAATCACCAAAAATCCTGCCAACCAGTTTGGTTTAGAAACATAAAGATGTTGCTTCAAAATAACTTAGCTACTGAGAGGAGGAATTCAGAACCTTCTAGTTCACTTCTCAGTTCAGTGTTCCACACAAACCATCCCTCTCAAACCCAGGACCTTTAAGAATTTTTTTTTTAAAAGAGAAAACAATGACTTACAAAAAGTTCAATATTGTCTATATTGAAATTTGTGATTATTTCTGGTAATGTTGAGAATACTGAGCAAAGATCATGTCTGCACTATTTAGAAATACTTCATTTATCATGCCACCTGAAATGAAATCTAAAAGTTAAGAATATCTTGTCATGAAATCAATTTCTGCTGCTGTAAAAACAGCTGCTTGTATTTATCAAATCATCTAGAAACTGTCACTTGGCAACTCTTTCAGTTGGGATGCAGATAAACCACTTTAAAGGTGGCTGTCAGGTGACGGACATTCTAAGGTTAAGTACCCAGCTTGGAACATCCTATAACTTGATCTAGAGATCATGAGAATATTCCTTTGTGATCATTTTCTCTCCCAGTTTGTTAAGTATGGTCATTACTCAACAAATAAAATAATTAGCTAATACCTGTAGGGCAGTGAGCCTCTTTATTAATAATTTTTTTTCTAGTTAGGTAGAAATAGCAAACAGTGAAAATGCGTCTCTAGAACCTCTTTAGATACAATGTAAAATGTTGTTATTGTTAAGTGCTGTCAAGTTGGTTCCAACTCATAGCGGCCCAATATAGGGTTCCCATGGAGCAGCTAGTGGGTTTGAACTGTCGACCTTGAAGTTAGCAGTTCAGTGCTTATCCTACAGCACCACACCATGAATCTCTCTAAATTTTAAATTAAAATCCAATTGATTCAAATGATCAGTTTATAGTAAGAAGGAAATACCTTGAGATAAAGAATCCTTGTAGGAATAGACTGTAGTCAATGGACTTTTTCATATCCCGGTGATCACTGTAGCTTTGTCTACTAATATTTATACCTTACACATGCTCAGAGAGAGAGTACTTATCATACCTCTGTTAGTAAAAGGGGCTCAATTATCATATGGCCTTTCTCCTGTCATAATTACAAAATAAGGAGCTCTGGTAGCATAGTAGTTACAAGTCAGGCTGCTAACCTCAAGGTCAGCAGTTCGAAACTACCAGCAGTTCCACAGAAGAAAGATGAGGCTTTCTGCTCCCGTAAAGATTTACAGCCTCAGAAACCCTATACAGGGTCACTATGAGTCAGAACCAACTCCACAGTACACCAACAACAACAACAACTATAAAGTGTGTTGGCACCAAAGCAGTCATCAATGCTGCAAGTTTCCTGCTGACCCTCAAAGTTATGAAGCTTGGTGATAACTCCCACCAAACACATGGGATCAGTCACAGACAGAATTATAAAGATGAACCTTATTATGACATAAGGGGATAAACAGATGACTCCAGGAAGACTATAATTTGTACCATTGTCTTGAGTTATTAGGGAAAGGAGAACCACAACGTGAAAGATTGATTTATCTGTAGCCACAAGAAAAATGGTTCCCAATGGGTTTTTAGAAAATACATTGTACCTACGTTGTTGAGAATATACAGGCAAAACACATACCAATTCAACAGTGTCTACAAGGACCACTTACTGGCATTGATTCCACTGGATTTCAATTTTTATTATCCTATTCCAGGTGTTTTATAGCAGAAAAGAGAATTTAGGATTATACTTCTTCTGTTTAATCCCAAAACCAGTAGATCTGGTATTGTTTTAGCAGCAGAGGCAGGAGCAAACAGGAAACCCAGATAACCTTTTAGGTTTCTACCAAATTAAATGTAATCATCATAGTCCCTTAAAATCAAGTAAGGACAGGAAAACAAAGCATCTAAACCCTTTATTTCTTAATGCATAGGACTTAAAATTAACCAGCTAACTACCAGCATACCACTCATTAAGAGTATCAGGGATAATCTATGCACAAACAAACGACTATCAACATGATTAGATTACAAAATCCTGATTTTCCCACCTAAGAACCAATAAAGAATGTTTCAATTTCAAGCAGTGAAGGATAAAAATACATCTGAAAATCATCAAGCTATTTGTCTTAATTGCAAATGAAACAGTAAATACCAATTTTTCCACTGAGGAGGTAAATGACAACCTTTTCTTACTAAGTCAAATAAGATTCTGCACCCTTCTAATTATAGTTATATTTGAGGGACTCTGAAGATTATTGCAGTCAAGTTTTGTCTCCTAATACAAAAAAAGAAAAAGAAAAAAAAAAAGCCCACCAAAGCAGCCATGTCACATAAAGAAAAAGTAATGTGTGTGTAATTCATTACAGTATGGTCAAAGCCATTAGCTGGGGCCCACTGGCAAGGCACTATCTCGGCTGCTCCACCTACATACAGCCATTCATCTTGCAGGAACAAATGCCAATAACTGAAACGATCCTTAGAAGATCTCTGCACAGAGAACAGATAAAGTCCTAAGGCAAAGGGAGTAACTGAAATAAAAAACAAAGGCCCCAAGAATTGCCCTTCATAAAATCAGGACCTGGGACATAGATATGAGTTCAAAACCAGGCCAGCTAACCCTGCAGTCTCCACCTGGACCAGCAGAGTTCCGTCCAGGGACAGGCACGGCTTTAAGACAGCAGGACAGACAAGATTCTGGGTACTTTGAGTGGCTGTTTCTCAAGGTGTGCTTGAACAAGGGTTCAAACTCACCCCCCAAAATTGTGACACTTCAGGGGATAAGGGAATACGGATGCAGAAAGAGGTAAGTGTGAAGGAGGAAGTATATAATAATATGGATCGGAAAGCTCCAAACACCTTGGCATCTCCAGGCATCTTCCTGAAAGTTGTAAACTTGGGTGTATATCTGCCAGGAGACAGAGGGGCTGTGCTTCCAGGGGCTGCTATGCTAATCGAAGAGAAGAGGCCCAGCTTGGGGTGGGGGGTGGGGGGAGTGAGGGGCTTTCTTACTTTTGTAGCTCGCTGCCCAGGGCTGGTAGCCATAGTAGCCAGTGATGCGAAGGATCCGCTCTTCGATAGAAGTGAGCCCCACTGGCCCGCTCGTGAGGTCCTCCACCGAGCGCGACCATTTCAAGTCCTCCTTGATGGCCTCGTCCACCACCAAGTACTTGAGCTGCCGGAGCTGGGGGCTGATGTCTGAGAGCCTCCGGGGGCTGACGTCTGGCGACCTTCTCATGCCACTGAGGCCACGAGCACCAGGACAGGTGGGCGGGGGAGGGGGAGAGAAGGCAGAAAGGAGGAGGTTTAGGGGAAATAGCAGGTGCGGGTGAGGAAGGGTGCCGCGGCCCTCCAAGAGGACGACAGGTACGGCCAAAGGGCCGGGGCTAATCTCCTCCCGCCGCCCCCGTCCTCCTGGGTCCGGGGAGGTCTCAGTGCCCGGTCCCGCTCAGTGCCCTGCCCCAGCGCTCCTAGCAGTCGAGTTTGGGAGCGCGGCGAGCAGGAGGTTGGCTTCAACTTGGGAGCCACTCTCGCTGCCCGCGTTCCCCGCTCCACGCTGTAGGCTCCAGTTGCCAGGGTTCGATCCCAGCGAACGCTATCCCTCCACCGCACCCAACGCGCGGTCGGCGCTACTCACATGGCGATGGTCTTGCCCCTAGATGCGCCGCCGCTGGGAAACTCTCGGATACCCATAGACAGCGGAGGAGCGGGACCAGGCGCTCCCAGACTCCAGACACGGGGGCCGGGCCAGAGCTCCTCAAGCCGCGCGGGCGCCGGGCCCAGGGGCGCCGTCCCCGCTAAAGGACCCCTGACGCCGGTGCCCACAGCGTGTCCCCACTGGCCGGTCCCCGAGCGCTTCGGTAGCGTCCGACGAGATGGAGGCGCGGCGCGGCCAGCGACCTTCCAGCTCCCCGGCCGGCCTACGGCGCGCGCTGCAGCGAGGGGAGGGAGCGTGAGGCGCGCGAACGCCGCGCCCCTCGCCGAGAGCCGTCGCCACCCCCACCCCCGCCAGCTCCGCCGTGGCGCGGGAGCAGGGCGGGGACAGATCTCCGAACTGAGCGCTTGCTCTCTAGGCACCTGGGCAGGCGGGGTGCACCTCCCGGGCACCCAGGAGCCAGGTGGGGGCGCTGCTGCCCCTTCGCAGGGTGTCTACGCTCCACCGGGCAACCTTGGGGCCTGGGGCGGGTTCTCCCGCAGTCCTACAACTTGTGAGCTCCTATGGCTCCTACTACAGGAGTTCAGTGTCTCTTTCTACCTTACACCGCCCTCTCTCCTTCCACTCGCTCTCTCCCTCATTTCAAAAGTTATTCAGCAAAACTACTTGGAAAGATAAACCTGAATCCAGAGCACAGAAACTAGGCTCTGAATCTCACCTGGCTGCAGGAATGGGTGTTTCGCTGTGTGATTTCTCAACCCCGCCCGCTCCTCAGAGAGCTAGCTGCATTCTCACCGATGGTGCAATGAGGAAATGCGTTCTCTCTTCATACAGCTCCATTTGATTTTGCTCCCAGTCCTTGTAAGGTTTCTGGATTTTCTTTACTTCTCTAAGCAGTTCTCTCTAGGTGATTCATTACCTTTGCATTATGTTGTCTTTCTGTTATAAAATATATATAAAAGAGGATATATAAAATGCATTTGTCAACAACCATGGGATTACAAGTGGTGGTTATGTGCCGTGGAGTCGGTTCCGACTCATAGCGACCCTGTACAGGGTTTCCGAGGCTGTAAATCTTTACGGGAGCAGAAAGCCTCATCTTTCTCTCTTCAAACTGCTGAGCTTAAGGTTCGCAGCCCGATTCGTAACAGGTGCTAATAGTAATGTATCAGTATTGATTTATTGTTTTTAAGTACCGTCGACTCTGTATAGGGGTTCCGAGAAGCGACTGGGGGTTTTGAACAGTACTCCAGTGCTGATCCTATAGCCTCGTACCAGGAGTACAAATTACCACAGGACTGAAAGATGTTAATAAAAATAGGAGCGGCAAGGTACAGAGAGAAGACAGATATATGGGAACTTGCTCTACTTTCTGCACAATTTCTCAGTAAACCTAAAAATTCTCGAAAAAATGTTAAGTCTGTAAAATATAAAGTTTTGACACAGACCAAGAAAATTATATATATACTAGCATATGGAAACTTTAGAAAATAGAGAAACAGGTGAAGAAAAGAATATATTCTTTATCCAGCCAAAGAGGACTACTTAGGATCCTATGAGTATTCCTTTTGTCTTTTCTTTTTTAAAAGGAAAATACATGTTTCACATAATCAGTATCCAATTGTAGTCACTACTTCATGTACTGTTCTTTTATATTAAAATTATATTGTGTAGCTTTTCCACATTGTATACATATCTATATTCATATTCCCTCTAAACTATTATTTTTACTGACCTGATTATTTTTACTGACTTGGTATAAAAGCAGCAGTACCGTTGTCATAGATTTTAATGATGTCATGGAAAATGTGATTCTGAACCATCATTTGTGAGTTCGGGCACGACAGCTCCGCATTTCATCCAATTCCCTAGGTGAACTCTTCACACCAGTGTTGGAGAATCATTGCTCAGGTACAAAATGACTAAAATATAGGGAACTCTGAATCTTCCTCTTGCTTTCCCAAATAGGCACATTTCCTGGACCACAAGGAAGGTCTGGGTTTAGCCAGTAAAAGACAGGCCTCTCTATTCAGCTACCGATTTCGGTCTTTGCCAAGGTTGCTATCTTTCTGGACAACTTCCTTAGCCTTTCCAAGTCTCAGTTCCCTCTTCCGTATAAAAAGGTATAACTTCATGTGATTGGTGTAAAGAAAAAAAATGAATTAATTCTTGTAAAGTGCCTAGAATAGAGCCTAGTACATGATCAATACTTAAAAGATATTAGTTATTATAATTATCAATGCCACTAAAGTTTGAATTCAATTTCTTGACAGCCATCTCATTCATAATCCAGCTTAGTGTTTAGTAAAATATCGACATATTTTTGAAGTGCGCATTTGTAAAGCCACATCACTCTTCTCCAGGGTTTTCCCTTTTTAATAAGTAGCACAAGATTGGAAGTAAGCTGGTTACATACTGGCTTCTTCATTCACCAACTGGATAACCTAGCGACAGTTCTTTAACAATTCTGGGTCTTAATTTTCATAGGAACTACAAATGATTATGAAGCTCAAATGGTTTCAAGTACATTTAAGAATTTAACACAGTGCTTAATTTAGTGTTCAATAAGCATTTTCAATTACAAACAGCCAGCCTTTCAATCAACAATCTACTTTCTGGGTGGTCAGCCAGAATTGTATCAGAAAGGACATGCTGGAGAAGGAGTTACTACAAGTTCTTCTCTGAGCCAGTAGTCAATCAACACCTGAAACTTGTGATTTTTTTGGCACAGAAAATAACAGAAATGGGTAATTTTTATTGGTGAAATTATTTGCCTTTTTAATGGTATGATAGATATTAGGAATGGACTCTTATTGGAAAATATAAATACTCAAGATACATAGATTGGATACAATATTGGGGAGCCCTTTGCTACCCTTTCATAAACAGATTACACAGTGATGGAAACGTTATCCTTAGCGGTGGAACCCAAAGCCTGACAATCTGGTTTGGCTCAGTGGTTATGATAGCATGGATCTACCAACCTAAACACGATGGAATTGGTTTAGTCATTAGGTCTCACATGAGAATCCTGCAAAAGAGGAAGTTTATAAATTAGCTAAGATGACCTTGTAGTCCTAGAAGAAGAACAGGACAAGGACAGTGGTGTTGTTGCTGTTAAGCACAGTTGAGTGGATTCCAACCCATAGTGACCCTGTATAGGATTCCCAAGGAGAAGCTGGTGAGCTTGAACAACCGACCTTGCAGTTCAAAGGACTTTGCAGTCTGATGCATTTGCCCACAGGACTCCACAAGGAGAATGCATTTGCACACCAGGACTCCACAAGGAGAATGTTGTTAAGTGCCTTCGAGGCGATTTCAACCCATAGTGACCCTGTATAGGGAGGGTTTCCAAGGAGTAGCTGGTGAGCTTGAACCACAGACCTTGCAATTCAAAGGACTTTGAAGTCTGACGCATTAGCCCACAATGCCACACCAAGACTATAGGATGTGCTTAAACCCTCCCAGATGTTATCTCAGGAATTAAGCAGCTGAGACCCTAAACGTAAAATGTTTGAGGAAGTGTACTAATTTATTGTTTCCTTTCCTTAAAAAATGCTATCTTGATGTTAAAATAGATTAAGTGTACCTCCAAATGTAACTTACCCGATATAATGTGCCCGCTCTTCATAATGGACAGGACGTTCTTGAGAAATGATTCTCTCTGTCCTCCAGACTGCTGGCTTTCTGCTAATAAACCTTGGTTTGGATCTCTCCCGGTCTCTGTGATTGACTACAGTGACAGGCAGCAAACCCTCGTTTCAGTCTGGCAACATTTCCAAGGATTTTGGGATGCCTTATGGCAACTACGTGGATAAAAGAATCCTGCCTTAGCATATTGCGTCTGCCTGTAGTGTGTCTTTCAGGTTAGGTGTGGACAGAGTACCTAAAATAATAGAATGCTAATAAATAAAGTTTAAAAACTTCCAACAACAAAAAGACTTGGCCTAGAAGTCTTCCCTGGGAATTTTTGCAAACATTTGGAGAAGAGCGGACAATTCTACATAACCTCTTCCAAAATATAGAAAAGGAAGGAATGGTCTTTAACTAATCCTATGAAGTCAGCATCATCCTAATACCGAAACGATAATAACAACAACAAAAAAAAAAAAAAAAAACTTCAGCAAATATCCATCATGAATATAAACGCAATAAATAAATAAATAGTTTTCAAAAAAATTCTAGTCAACAAAATTCAACAACATATCAAAAAAATCATACATTTTGACCAGATGGAACCCATACTAGAAATACAAAGATGACTTAACATTAGAAAATCAATTTAGAAAATGCGGTTAACGTGATTAACCGCATAAGTAAAACAAAGGAAGATAACCACATATCTCATTTATGCAGAACAGGCATTTGATCAAATCTAGCAAGCTTTCTTTATAAAAGCTCAGCAAAACAGGAATACAGGGGAATTCCTCAACATAATTAAGTGTACATATGTAAAATCAACAGCCAACATTATTTTCAATAGAGAAACAGGTGTGAGACAAGGATACCCATTATCACATCTCTTACACCATACTGCACTAAAAGGCCTAGGTAGATCAGTAAGACAAGAAAGAGAATCCAAATTGAAAAAGGACAAAATAAATCTATCTTTATTCACAGATGATCTGATGCCTTACACAAAAATACCCAAAGATTTCAAGTCTTTTCTTTCTTTCCTGTATTATTAAAGACTTTTTGCTTTCTCCCAGTATTTTTTTTTTTTAACTTTTTATTGTGAATTAAGTGATAGTTTACATGGGAGGACATCGGCTTTACATTCATCCTATCGTATTTCGTTTCATTGCAATGATTACAATCCCCTGGATGAATCATCATTCAACAGCGTTTGCTTCCAATCCCTCTGGTTTGTTGTTGTTGTTGTTGTTGTTTTGGAAGTACTCTGAAGCACTCAGGAATACTAACCATTCAAATAACCAAAAGGTACACCCTGCACGCCAGCCCCCCAGCTCCCAGCCCCCAACCCCTCTCCCTCCTTGAGTCCAGCGCCCCCAGCCACTCCATCTCGCCATGTCATCGT